AGGTTGGGGGCAGTGGGCTGGGCAGTTGGATTAAAAGACCTTATGTTCAAGGAGGGAGCCGGCGACAGGTCAACGCCAAGGTCACACAGGCGGACCCGCAGTCAGACCCGCTGAGCCGATTGCTTCTGGGGCTGGCGCTTGGAGCAGGGCAGAGAAGCCCACAGGCTCCACGTCCAGGGCCAGAAAGCGTCAGGACTGACGTCCTGTGCCCTCAGTCATAGCTGGGAGGCCGCTGGTCTCCCTCGGTTCACACACCCCTTCATCTTGTCCTCAGACTTTTCAGCCTGCAGGAACTCTGGTTCTCAGCTGGCGGAGCCGCCCAGTGTTTCTCTCCGGGCTGAGAGTCCCTGGCTTGGCTTCTGGTTCTTGGAATCACTAGGTTTCCTTTCAAGTTCAGTGAAGGTCACATTTACTGCACACCTATTACATCCGAATGGGGAGGGGAGGTTGGGGAGGCTACTCAGCAGTCACTCAGACATCTGGGTGACCGCCTGCCTGTCCAGCCCAGAATGCAGTCTAGTGAGATGCGAACAGTTCAACAGACTCTCTGGGTTTTTGGGGGAGAGATTTTTGCTCTAGGGTGTGTGTGCTCACTGGAGAGATAGAGAGACAGAAAGTGAGAAATCACCCCCAAGGGGGCATGGCCACACCACAATCCCTTCTCTATTCTTTGAGGATTCTGGGCACTCATGTACATGCACCCAGCCTTGAGTTTCAAGCTGCCTGGTCTGGGAATCAAACTGCAGTCAACTGCGTGGGAGTCCAGCGATGTAACCATCATGCCATCTGCTGGTTATTGTCTCTGGTTCTTTTTTTTTTTGAGAGCGGGTTTTGCTATAGCGTGTGTGCCCTCGCCAGGAAGACAGAGAGAGACGAGAGACAGAAAGCAAGCAATCATCCCCCAGGGGGATGGCCACACCACAGTCCCTTCTCCATGCGCCTTAATGACCACATTCAACACAGAGAAATTAAGACACTTGCCCAGGGCCACATGGCTGCTAAGGGTCAAGGTGGGATGTAAAATGGGGATAATGGTGGGGGTGGGGGTGGGATACCTAATGGCCGGATTATATCATGGCTTTTGTTCTAATACGAAGTGTTAGACTTTTTCTATAAAGTGACAAATAGTAAAATATAGTGACCCTCCCCCACCCCTATTTGCTGTCTGCTACCCGAGATCAACCATGGTCTGAAATATTAAATGGGAGATTCTAGAAATGATCAGTTCATTTTTAAGTGGTGCACCATGCTGAGTAATGTGATGAAATCTTGCACCAACCCGCCCCATCCTGCAGAGGCAGGATCACCCCTTTGTCCGGCGTATCCATACTGTATGCCCTACCTGTATACACCTAATAGCCTCCAGGGTTGTCAGATCGGAAAAACTTAGTATATATGGGGCTCAGTACTCTGGTTTCAGACCTTGACCAGGTGTCTTGGGCTGTATCCTTTGTGGATGAGATGGGTGGCGGCTGCTTTTTTTTTTTTTTTGAGGCCCACATGGTCTCGGTCACAACTATTTAACTCTACCTGTAGTGCTAAGCCTGCCACTGGGCCAGCTCAGTAGCCTAGTGGTTGGAGGAGCTGGATCCCAATCCCTCATGGCTGGCCATAGTTTGTGTCAGGCTTGAAAAACACCAGGTGTATGTGCACACGTGCCCAGAATCCCCACAGGATGGAGAGATGGAGAAGGGATTGTAGTGTGACCAACACCCTATTGGAGTGTCTTGCCTCTCTCTCTGGGGAGAATAGGTGCCCTCTGGCAATACAAAATTTTTTAATAGAAAGAAAGCAGCCACTGGGACCAGCAGGGGGTGTGGTGGTTAAGGGTCTGGACACTCCCGCATGGCTGGACATGAGTTGGGGACACTCCCGCATGGCTGACCATGATTTGAGTCCCAGACCTGGTGGTTTGCGCTCGCTCGCTTGCTCTCTCTCTCTCTCTCGTCAAATTAAAATAAATGACTGAATTAAATAAATAAATAAATCTTTAAAAAAAAACGGCAGCCATTGACAGTGGTAAATGAGTGGATGTGTCTGTGTACCAATAAAATTTTATTTGTAGACCATGAAATTTGAATTTTATATACTTTGCATGAGCCAAGAAATGTTCTTTTTTTTCCCCAAGTGTACCAATCATCCTTAGCTCAGGGACTGTGGAAAAACAGGCTGTTAGGACTGGCTATGGCCATGAACCTTATTTTGCCAGCCTCAGCCTAGCAACCTGGGTTCGTCGTCCTCTCTGTGTTTGACTTAGTTCTATGTCTGTCCGACACAGATGAACCCAGTGTTTGCAGCGTGAGGAAAGACAGCCTGCCTGGGCCCTCAGAGCTGCTTCCCTTTCCTCTTCTTCTATTTCTCAGTTCCCCTTTGCTCACCGACATTCATCTTGTGCCTGGTCCTTGAGAATGCTGGGTGGATGTTCCTTAGCGGGGACATGAAATGGCCTTGTCCTTGTTCATCAGGGTTTAAAAATGCTTCTCCTTTTCACTGCCACCTGCCCTGGAAGCGCTCCCTAAATAAGAGAATGGGCCCGGATTGTGGCAAAAGGTATCAGTTTGTCTTCTACGTTTTAAAGCACTCCTCGTGGAAGCCCCACCAGGGCATGATGGTTTGCTGCTTTGTTCTCTGCTGTGTTTGCTTGGACAATATCTGGTGCCCACTGGACTCCCCCGGGTTGTGACACCCGCCTGGTCTCCCAGAGGATGCACTTGGCTTTGCAGAGAGGCAGTGAGTGTCCTGTCTCACCTCAATAGCACGCCTATAGGCAGAGAGTAGCTCTCTCACTACAGAAAAGAGGTGTAACCAGCCAGTCAGCATGGTAGTAACATGATGTCAAAGCCACATGGGAACGTCCTGGGTTCAGGTCCTGAGGTCTCACAGGGGTGCTTGCATATGCCCATGAAACTGGTTCGCTGAGGCTGGGGGTTGATCACAGTGTGGGCACCCTATTTGGGGTGCCCCTCTGTCCCACTTCTCTCTCTCTCACGTGAAAGAAATGCATAAACTTTTTTTAAAAAGAAAAGGAAAGAGGGAATGGAGGTGTATAGACTTGCTTGGGTCATGCGGCAGGGGTCGTGAGGCCAAGACCACCCACCTGTTCTCCACCTTAGGTCTTCCGGGTACGGTTCAGGTTCTGCTTTTGCAGGACTTTGTGAATTTGTGCCGTTTCTCCAACTGTGACTATTCCTCTATCTCTTGAAGGATTTGGAATCTTTCATGAGCCACATCCTACCTGCACTATTAACTTTATTTTTTTTCTATAAATGGACTCAATTTTTAACTTTAAAAAGTCACATGGGGCTAGATGGTGGTTTAATGGTAATGCAACTAGACCCATGTGGGACGGTCCTGAGTTCGGGGCCCAAGGTCTCTCCGAGCACACTGGGCGTGCACGTCTGCCCTTGATCCAGGTCAATTGAGGCTGGGGGTGGACACTGTGGATCCTTTTGGGGGTGCCTCTCTCTTGGTGTCTCTCTCATGGGAGAAATAAATAAACTTTAAAGAAAAACTGTAGGAAAAGGAAACTTGATGTCACTACCGTAATAAAAAACCAGGATCATGTGATCTAAGCAGAGGGCAACTGGAAAAATAAACATTATTAAATGCTAGCTGGATATAGCTATCTGCAAGGCTCTGAGTTAGGGTTTGCTTACTGTGTTTGAAGGGATGGGATTTTGCAAGTGTAAGAAAGATTCATTCCCATACAATGTTACCAAATTGACACATTCTCTTCCTGGAAAGAGAATAAAAAGACAATAACTTTCTCCCTATTTTTTTTTAAGAACAATTTTTATTCACTTTATTTCTTTTAATTTGACCAGAGAGGGACAGAGTGAGAGAGAGAGAGGGAAAGTGAGAAAGCAAGCTGCCAGGTCCAGGACTCGAACCACAGTTGGCCATGTGGGAGTCCAGTGCCCTTAACCATCATGCCACCTGCTAGCCCCTTCAGAGTTCAGATGCCATCTCAGTTCAGCTCTGGGACCAGACCTAGGCTAGGACACAGGACTCCTAGCCTACCTACTTGGCCCATTTGGAAAGCCATCTGGAGGAAGAGGAGGGTGTCTGTGCCTTGGGAACCTGTGAGGAGACGGGGTGGGGGTGGGGCCAAGCAAGGGAGGGAGGACCAAATTATGGCTTCCTTTTTGGTTCCCTGTGTCTGTGGGTGGTCATATGAAACTCCCCACCATCATCATTGGAGCAGAATTGGAAGGTAGGGCCTCCGGAGGGCGGGGGAGCCGAGGCTCATCTACTCCGTGCCTGCCTGCGTGTTAGCTAATCATGTCCTTTGGGGTGGCTTCGTGGCTATTTCCGTATAGGAAGGTTTGCTGTTCTCCTGAAGAGTGGCTGCATTGGACAGCATGACTGACTGTCCACCCGCTCTGATTCATAGCAGCATACAGGGCAAATCAAATCGAAATGCTAAAGTTTCCCATTTACTCGGTGTTGGTTAACCAGGAGGCTACCAGCAGCCCTGAAAATAGCAACACCTTGTTAGGAAGTCAGCCTCCTTTCCAGGATGGTAAGTGGAAAGATGCAGGCTGGGTTTTTTGTTTTCCCCCTTCTTTTTTGAGTTGCTGGAATATTGCTAAACTGGTCTTGTCTCTCTCTTTTTGTAATCCCTTCGCTCCCTCGTGCCCCTTGGCTTCATCGTGGATCTCTAAAAGGGCAGTTGGAACCATTAAACGAGGTGGGTTAATTCAATGATTTGTTTGATCTGGTTTCTAATCAAGAAATGCTTGCCTGTCTCGGTGTGGAGCCTGTGCGGGGCTGTGGGGATAGTGAGTATGAAACAGTCACCGGATGTTGATCGCACACTTTCCATTTCTTTCTACCGAGAGGAGATTCCGGTGGAAGGACACTCGTTGGCAAGACAGGCTCCCCTCTCCACCCCGACTCACGGCGTGTGATCATCTCTGTTTACTGTCGTGTCACTGAGATGATGACTTTTTAATATTTGCTCCTTGCTTTCAAGAAGGCAGAGTGCTATTCGTTGTCTTTCGAGAACATATTGTGTAGCCCTCATGATGCAGAAACCACCCACATGTCAAGAAAGACGTTCACATAAACTACAAAAGAAAATACCTGAAATGTTTTGCTTGCTATTAACGGCTCCAGCGAGTCGGTGTTTGCCGCTCTCGCGTCTGCAGTTGGTAAATAGAAATGGAAAACGTTTTGTGCTAAGTGTGCGGCCGCGGAGACAGGACTCTTGAGTGTCTGCACTTCTCATCATCGGGGACCGGCTGCTTGTAATTTTGGGTGTTGTTTCTCCTCTTCCTCTTCCTCACTCCTCCCTCCTCCCCCCTG